TTTTTTTTTTTGCTGATAATGTTGTGGGAGAAGAAGAGGTGAACCGGCATTCTGAGGAAAAAATAAAATAATAGTAATAAGGATAAATAAAGAGGTAATATGTGTCTGTGAGAGAGTAATTGTGTGTTGATTCTGTTTGTAAAGAGTGGCATGGTATTACAGTGGTGTATGCAGTCATTTTTGTTTATGGTTGTGGGTGAGTGGGTTTTAGATTCCAATTCTGGTGTTGGTATAAATATATTATGGTGATGCATTGGTTTCTTTTCCTTTTCTGTTTGGAAGTTTGTGTTGATTATTATTGTACAGTCTCTTTGTTTTGCTGATAATTTGTGGTATTGTTTTTGTATGTTGCCGGGCGTGTACACTGTGTTTTTGGTGTATTTTGGTTTTCAAACTGCCTGGTAATGGTTTTATTATAATGAGAATACAGACACCTTGTGTGTATGAATACCGAGTAAGATATTGGAGTGTGTGTGGAGACGCTTATTCAATATTGTTTTGGTACCATTTGTTTTACACTTCTTCTAAATTCAAGGTGTTGTTTCAATATCTGTATGTAACTCTGGGTGTGTTTTATTGTGTGAGTGGTTTACTGTTGTTTCCCTCATTGGGTTGTGTCGTTTGATTGCTGTTGTGATGTGTATTCTCTCTCTCTCTCTCTGTTGCTGTGCACTGTCTACCGTGTGAGTTAAATGTGCGTCTCTTTTCTCCTTTTCCTCATCTTCCTTGTTACCACAGATCCAAGCAACCCACAGTGACAATCACATCAACGATGTTCGTCCAGCTGCACCGTGTGGTGTACCTGCTGGTACTCCTGCAATGTTGTGTGTGTGTGGCGTACGGGAACACCGAGGCGGGTGTTGGAGGCCACGGGACAAGTGGTAGCGGGGGAGATGTTCTTGGTGAAGAGATGAACGTTTTGGCGTTAACGCCAAAACCCGTAAATGTAAATTATACCGACGCAGAAATCAATGGCGATCAGGAGATCGATACGGATTTGAAGCTCGTTGTAAAGCAGACGTTGTTAAGGTTAAGGGATTCACAGATTCCGTTTGCGAATGCGACCGCCTGTAAGTCCATATGGGAAAGGGCGATCGAAGCAAATAACGAAACCGTGAAGAAGTCCAAGGATGCCGTCGAGAAAATCAAGAATTTTGGCGAAAGAATCGACAATTTTACGGAGAAAAAAAACAAAGGGGAAAATAAACTGAAGCTGAAAGATGGTGTGGAAGCGGAGGGGTTCAAGAAGTTGGTTGACGAGATTAATGCGGAACTGAAGAAAAGCAAGAGCGAGATACCAGATGCGAAGAAGATGGAAACAATTGACGGAGCAGTCTATACCAAACACGTTTGTCTGACTGTGCGTGGAAACGCCAAAAATGCCCTGGATAATCTTAAACGCAGTCTAGAAGACTACGAGACGTTTAAAAAAGAAACTGCGAAGAGCACGAAGGCAAAAGAAGTAAAGGAAGCTGGCGAAAATAGGCGCGACGCGTTGGAAAAGGTTTTGGCACAACTGAGACTTGTGGAATTGGATGCAGAACGATCGGTTTCCAAAGCCAAAGATCAGGTGAAGGATTGGGCAGATGCTTTGGGGAGGTTCTTCCGTCTCGGGGAGATGGTCACGGCGTTGGCGAGTACAGATGATGCTCGCGCAGAAAGTGCAATCAAGACAGCGAATAATGAAACCGTTGAAGAAATAAAAAAGGTTGCCACTGAACAAAAAGTGAAGGACATTCGCAAGCTTGTCAACGAAGTTGATGATGCGACGAAAACCCGGAGGGTGACGATCGTCGAGAAAATCAAGAAAGAGGTGGAGAGTGCCAATGTAAAAGCGGCCGCACGCGTTGAAGAAGAAGTGAGAGAGGCCATAAAAGCAAAGGAAATTGCTGACGAAGAAGAGAGGGCGAGAAAGGCCAGGGAAGAAGAAGAAGCAAGAAGAGATGCAGAAGAGAAGGCGAAGCAGAAGGCCGAAGAAGAGAAGGCTAGGAAGGCCGAGGAAGAAGAAGAAGCAAGAAGAGTTGCAGAAGAGAAGGCGAAGCAGAAGGCAGAAGAAGAGAAGGCTAGGAAGGCCAAGGAAGAAGAGGCGAAACAGGCAGCAGAGGTGGCGAAAGAAAAAGTGAAAGAAGAGGCTAAAAAAAAGAAAGATGGTAGCAGCAGTCCTGCATTGATGCACAGTCCCTTATTGCTGCTTCTGCTGTCTGTGTTGGGTTGCACTCTCGTTTGCTGATCGGTGTTCCCATGACACTGCTGCACAGTTGACCTTTGTCTGAGTGGATATGGATGCATTGTAAGGGCATTGTTTTTATTTTGAATTCTACTGTTTTTTTTTCCCTTCTATCACGATAAATCTCTTGTTTGCATTTTTTTGTTGGACACATCTATTGGACTCCCTATGGCACTCATCAGATGACAAACCATCATTTTGTAAGGGGAGTGTCCTCTTTGTTTGTTGGCATTATTGTCTGGGCACTGCTTTGCCACCATTTACTTTGTCCTCCTGGTGATGTGTGTGTGTGTTCCGTGATATTACTAACTATTGCTTTTACCCATGGGAATGGGATACAATCCCAATGTGTTTTAATTGCTGTGACTGAAATGTGAAGAATGGCAGGAGGTTCAGGACACACGGAAACACGCACACTACCAACCTTCCTTCTCTTTGTGTGTGTGTGTGGACCGTCATCATGTGTGCATCATTCCCATTGCTCGCCCTGTACGAAAGACACACACACATTGCAGTAAATTGTGTTATTGCCCCCTGAACATATTCACATGGTGGTCACGGCTTTTTCTTTTCTTGTTCTGTTTCCATTCTATTGTTTTTTCCCTTGTGTGTGTGTTTCATTATAATTTCATTGCACATTATGTGCAGCTGTGTGTTTCTTCCTTTTGCGTTTCCAAAACACCTTGTGTGTCTTGTGTGTTCATTTTTATGGAATGATTCTTTTTTTTTCATTATATACAAACTGCTGCAGGGACATCAAGAATAAAGATATGGGCAAGGCAGGTTCAGTACACAATGATTTTCCGTTGTTAATCTTGGGATGGATTGGACTGTGTCCAGGCATCGCGGCCACATTAAGTAGTGAAATACTTTTTTTTCTTTTACATCTTTGCTCTATTATTGTGTCTGCCTCATGCAGTCACTCTTTTTTTTTACATTTTTATTTTGGTATGAAAATTGGTGGATTGTGGGTGTTTGAGTGTGCCCCTCTGTTGTGTGTTCCTTTGTGTGTTTGGGTTGTCACTCGCAGCGCCCACGTAATGAAAACACATTTCTTTGTTCTCACCTTTACTCTCTCGGTGGTGTCACTCGCACAGCGCTGCCACGAACATATTTCTGCCCTTGTGTTGTTTGTTGTGTGGCTTGCTTGAGTGACTGCAGCCTGCGGGGAGATGGGCTGAGACTGTTCCGCTTCGGCTTCACGTAATGGGTTTGTTTTTTGGGGTTGAGTTGATGTGCTGGTGTGGGTGAATGTTTTTCTCTGATGGGAGTGGCAGCTGTGGTTATTGTATTGTGAGTGCTTTGTGTACTTTTGGTATCCTGTTGTTGTTTTTTTCCTTTCTGTGGGTGTGTGACTTAGTGTACGTTTTGGTGAATGCCGCAGTGCCTCTCTGATATGAGCATGTGGGACTGTCATTGTGTGTGTGTGCACTGTGAGTGGGAAGGACACCGTTGAGTTGCTGGACCACTCCACTGCGGCCTCTGTGGGGTGCACTAAAAGGCGGTGTGGCGGGATTCACCGACATGTGTGTGAGCGACTGGAGCGGAGGTGTGGCTTCTTGGCGCTAGTCCATTGCCCTGCGGTGCGATTAGTGCCGCACATGAATGGATTAATGAGATTCCCTCTGTCCCGAGTTACTATCTAGCGAAACGACAGTCAAGGGGAACGGAGTTGAAGGGCTAGGCCGGGAAAAGGAGACCCCGTTGAGTTTGACTCCAGTCTCTCTCCGGACTGGCTGGTCGGTGGCATGTACTTGGTACTGTCATCACTTTATAATTTGGTTCACATAATTTATATATGTGTACTGGTGTGAGATTGTGAAGTGGGATCTCGCAGGTGTCGTGAGGAAAGTGTATGGGGTAGTACGAGAGGAACTCCCATGCCGTGCCTCTGGTTTCTGGAGTTTGTCGAACGGTAAGTGCTCCGACGCTATCGCACGGTGGTTCTCGGCTGAACGCCTCTAAGCCAGAAGAAGCCAATCCCAAGACCAGATGCCCATTTTATATCACTATATATAACCAAAACTATGTGTGTACGTTATCAGCTAACGTGTGTGTGGTATGCACGTGCGTGACTGTCTTAGGGAAAAGTAGACCTCCGTGGTCGCGGCTTTTCAGGACAAGACGGGCTACACCAAATCTAGGATGTGTTTGGCTTCTGCGTTTTTCGCTGCAGCCTTCGCGGTCCTCTCCTATCCGGGAGCTTGAGGAAGTTTTCTTACTGT